GTCTAAAACTTGAAATTTTAAATCCGATATTGATCGTAACAATACAATACAATACAAGCGACCCGTAGAAAGAAAGAAAAAATAATGTTCAAAATTGATTGTTCATTGATTACGGAACCCTAAAAAGTATTAACTAGAAATCACCCGGTTAGCATTCCGGAAGCGAGCAGTGTTACAACCCAACAAAATTTAACAACCCTTCTAGCTGGCGTCTTTTTCCAATACCCATTTACAATAAAGGTTCTCTCTAAGAGCGCTCTTATATAAGGTAGGGTTATAGTTGCAGAACGCACCACTTGGGTGGTGGCCCGAGTGGTAACAGTGCAGCGGTTTGTAATATTGTAATGTTGAAAACCTTGGTTCGATCACCAGTCTTAAATCTATACATCTTCTATAATAATAATAATAATATTTCCAACACTCACACCAATTAGCCTAGCCCCAAAGTAAGCACTATAAGGCTTGTGTTATGGGATACGAGGGTAACGGATAGAATACATATATAAGTATATTTATATAGAATTACATTTAATTACAATTACGCGACCCTCACGGACCGCGTCGAAATTCCTCTAGCCATTCTTAAGCTGCAAGGCAGCCCCATCTCTTCGCATTATGGGTAACCCACAATGTGTGTGGTGCGGGTTCGAGTCCCGTCTGCTGCCTGGTCCGCGTGGAATTTTTTCTAGTTATATTTTCTTATGATTTAAATATCAAGCAGTTACATGCTTTAAAACAATTCATCACACAAATATCTGCCCCCACCGGGATTGGAACCCGGGACCTCTCGAGTCGGCGACACCATGAAACCCGGCGTACAAACCACTCGGCCACGGAGGTCGTCAATATTTCTATACATATAAATAATACGTCTATACATATAAATAAAATTGGAGTGCCTGTTTGTAATATTGAAATAACCGCTTTATACTACATGAAATGAAATGAATGAACTGAAATGGCTGGACCGACTTTGACGGGAATTTTATTGGCGAGTAGCATATGTAGGAGTAACTAAGGCTACTTTTATTATAGAAAAATTCTTTTATTTTAGAAAAAAAACAGTAAAAGTTAAAGCGGACGTGGTCGCGGGCGGCCGCTGGTAAAGATATAAATTACCTAAGACGAGATTGGTTTTGTTATTTTTTATCATCTTGATAACGGATACAAAGCAATATTACCTACAGCTGATTAAAAGCGAAAAACGTGACGAAATTATACACGAGATATTTTTTTTACTAAAATACAACTTACCGATTTTGATAAAATTTAATATGGGCCCAGTGCAGACGCTCCCGGTTCATCGCCACCGCTCCCGGTCAAACCAAACAAAACTTTAGACAAAGTCCACAGACACCGCCATCAGTGGTCCCACCTGGCTGTTCATCTAGCTACCTGCCTAGCTGCCTAGCTATAAGTAGACCGCTTATCTTAGTCCTCGCCTGCGGTGTAAAGGGCGCTTGTAATTTTGACAAGAATGTGCCTGCCTCGCGTGCCTCTCACCCCATGACAACGGCTAACTAGAGGTCCGAGTCTCAGAGACGCCCTCTAGTTGAGCCGACTAGAGGCTCCAGATGGAGGGGAGACTCCCCCCGCGAGGAGATGCCATCCGCCTGGAATACCTCTAGAGGCACTCGCCACTATACAATGCGATATGACAGCGTGAAGAGCAAATGGATGTGGCTCAGCATAAACTGCTCCTTTACGATCGATATCGCCACCGCTTATGACTTCCGCTTTATATTAGCGTCACGGTTGATTTAACTTGCCCTGAGAAGCTGCGTCTGCTGCCAGGCTAGTAACTTGACATTCATTATTATAGAAAATAAACTTTCCCATGAATCATTCATAAGGAATACTTACTCGTAGTCGGAGTGGAGTTCGCGTATTAAGCTGATACAAACGCTTCACATTAAAACTTGTAACTTCCAAGTTTACCGCCGCACTTAGCTACTTCGAGTGTTGAATGTTTAAGTGCTGTTGTTTCTGAGAGAAACTTAGGTACCTACCTATATAGATTTAATGTTAAAATAATATTTCGATCATATTTTTGTGATTAAATCACTTTTTCTTTAAACCATGAATCATTTCAGTAACGCTGGTGAAAAATTCCATTATGTGCTCGACTAAGTCAGTAGCTGGCGCATTCAACTTTTGCGCACCAGTCTAGCATTGGAGGTTTTGTAATTGGCTATTCAATAAAATTCAACTGTCAACTTGTTCTTAGATTATTATTAATTGTAATTATATTAGACGAAGAGATTACCAGCATGTTCCGAAGGTAGCCGAAGCTGCAAGCAACCTTGTCGCTATAGCAATCCCACCCACAAAACACAGAAAGAGATTTCTGCATTATGTAAGCAATCATCACCTTTTCGGCTTGAACCTGATCTCCTATCTTTGAATCTCTTTTTTATGTCCGGAAAAGGCATGACGCCTTTTTTTTTATTTATTGACAATGGGTACATTGTCCTTATGCCTAGCTTATTACTAAGAACATGAAAATTAATATAATATTTGTTAATTATTTACATTTTACAATTTTTCTGCAGTGTTACTTATAAAATTAAATATAGGTTTATAAAATAAATGTTTCCCTAAAAGTTTATGCAATTCTGTTGGTATGTCACAATCATTAGTTTCACAGATATTTTGCAGTTACGATATTAAAATTAAACGTTGTACGTTGAACTTTTGACATTTCATAATAATATGTTTTAAATCTCCTATTTCTCCTGGGCATGACGCCTCCCCCACCAGTGTTGCCATCAAGTTTGAAAAAGTTGTCGTATTCGATACATCAGATTGCCGTATTTTTAAATAAAAATCATGATTCCGCCGTATTACCTTATTTTATTTATTAAAATTTATAGGTAGTTAGTATTATTATACGACAATGACGAACCTTCCGTATGCCGTATAATCTGAAATTATGAGCTCAAATTGCCGTATCACCGGGAGTAGCAAGACGAAAGTATCTGTGGACTCCTCTCTATCCATGTCACCCAACTCAAGCGCTCGGTGAAATGAGCAGGACTTCACCCAGTAATGAGCAAATGAGCAAACAATACTCCAGCACCAGTCTACCGAAACGCACTCTGAGAATAATAATAATTATAATAAATAAATATATACTTCCCACACTCACACCCATTAGCCTAGCCTCAAAGTAAGCACTGTAAAGCTTGTGTTATAGGTTGGTAGGGTAACGGATAGAATACATACACTGATACATATAAATATTTTTTATCTAGAAATATATGTATATTAACATCCATGACTAACGTACAAATGCTCATATTCTATTGCTATTATATTCATGACTCTACTGTTAATGAGTCAAAACTACGCTAATTGCCTTTTATATACTGAAACGACATCTTTTTTTGAGAATCTGATGAACTGATATACAAGCATTTTTATGCTTAGTTTAGGCGTCAGTCTCTCACAAAGTTCTACCTAGATACTTATATAACTACCATAAGTTAATTATACAATAAGTGTTCAAAATGTATCTGTAAACGGAGGAGAGGTAATAATAATAAAAAAATTTCATACTAACATTTTCCCCCACCAGGATTCGAACCCTTTGAGTAGGCGACGCCATGAAACCCGGCGTATATACCACTCGGCCACGGAGGTCGTCGTCGTGAGAACCGCAGTGTCCGCAGTCCACGGTTCCCAACTTAGGGGTTTTGCCCCTAGATTTAGGGGCTAGAAGGGTCAAAACGGACTTTTTTAGGGACTGGAATTTTTTTGGAGGTTCTTTTAGGGGCTTTTAACAAAACTTGCAATTAAATTGAAAAATAAAGCGTGTGTTTTCTTTCAGTTTTATGCTTAGAATAGACACCACGATATGAAACGACTGAACTCACTGTGTGGCAGGTTGTTTCCTAAGGCTGTATGGACTAAAGTTCTTTGCCTTCCACCTATCAAAACAGCTAAATAAGACATAAAAGCCTGTCAGCTCATTTTCGTTTGATTTTCCATTCGGAAAATGTATTTATTCAATAACATAATTAACTGTAACTAAATATGTAACGTTTTAATTTATGAGCAACCAAAGAATTTAGGTAATAAGATAAGTAGGTACATATAAATTTCTATATTTAGGGGATTTTAGGGGAATTTAAAAAATACTTAGGGTAAAATTTTGGTAAGGGTTGGTAACACTGCCGCAGTCACCCGAATGCGCGTCGAGAGTGCGGGTATTGGTGGTCGAGGCACCCGGTTATCTTCGAAGCTCTGGGACCTTACTAACAAACAAACAACACCACAAAAATTACTATTTAAATTAAAACTTTTATTGGAAATCTTTTGCATTTCTCGCTTTCATCTAAGGAGAAGTGGGTGTGACTGAAAACCATCGCTGCCCGAGACATTCTGTAATGAAGCAGCTTATGCTGAGCCACATCCATTTGCTCTTCAAGCTGTCATATCACATTGTACATTGTATTGAAATATGTATTACTGTGAGAGCAATAAATATATTTCTATTTCAAAATGTAGTGTGACTTTCTGTGGTCTTCTGTTGGGTAGAACTCTCCTTTCTCACAATGGCGGATGGATGCTTTATTTTAAGCAGAAAATCCGCTATGAGAGACAAATGACAGTAAAATTCCACAAAATAATTAAATTCAAGAGAGATTGATTAGTACGTACACGTACGGTATTATCAAATTCAAGAGAGATTAATAAGTACATATGGTATTATTAAATTCAACAGAGATTAATTAGTACGTACACGTACGGTAGGTATTATTAAATTCAAGAGAGAATAATAATTACATATGGTATTATTAAATTCAAAAGAGATTAATTAGTACGTACACGTACGGTATTATTAAACTCTTTAATTTAATAGTTTTGTGGAATTTTTCTGTCAATTGTCTTGGACGTACTTGTGTTTGGGGGTGAGCACCGCAAGATTTCTAAGATTTCACAGAAATCACAAGCGATCGACCTCCTTAATAAACCATATATTTGTTTGATTGTTACAGGCTTACACGCCGACGGGTTTCGAGAAATACGGTTACACGTGCACAGTAGCCGACTACAGAGTCAACTATTCCGTTTGGGATACTTCAGGTAAAGAAACACCTACATATCTACTTAAAACAAAGCTTTTCTTAACTTATCCGTGTTGTCGCAAAATCCCTAGGTTTATCGCGAAAATTTGTTTTATCGTATCATCCTGCGACACATATAAATCGCGCGTTTATCTGGACAAGCTTTATGGAGTGATGGAGTCCATCTATCAGTTCTAAAGATAGCTGATGCCTCAAAGATAACGTGACTTACTTTTGTGGCCTTGACCCTATTCAAACCCCCTGCAGCATTGGCAATCTAACTTTACTTTAAGAACTCACAACATATACAACATTAATGTTGCTAGTTGCATTTTCTGTACCGATAGATTATATAATCTACATCTCATAACTGAAAGGTGACTGACTGAAATAGTGATCTATCAACGCACAGCCCAAACCACTGGACGGATCGGGCTGAAATTTGGCATGCAGGTAGATGTTATGACGTAGGCATCCGCTGAGAAAGGATTTTGATCAATTCTACCCCTAAGGGGATAAAATAGGGAATGAAAGTTTTTTATGAAACTTTGTCAATTTTAAACCAATCGGGCTGAGACATTGCATGCAGGTATAAGAAGAATCATAGATGAATGTCATTGTGTATAATACAAGCCTGAGAACAAAAACTGTAGTCTACACTTCAGCTCTACACCGAAGCGAAGCGAGGGCGGGCCGCTAGTTTAATAATAATGATTGAGAAGCGTAGTCATTGCAAGTAAATATAATCTATCTCTCCATTTGAGAAACAGATATTATAGGTAAGGTTTAGAACTTCATAATCAGTCTATTAATGTCATGATTGAGACACCACGTGGGCCCAGTGCGAATTGGCGAGTGCTAACGACTGCAGATGCAGCCGGGACCAACGGCTTACTGTGCCTTCCGAAGCACGGAGGAACTCGAGATAGAAGATTTTTTTTTTTTTGGGTGGCCAAAAAAATCTTCTATCTCGAGTTCCTCCGTGCTTCGGAGGAACTCGAGATAGAAGATTTTTGGCCACCCATCCAATGACCGATCACTGCGAAACTTCAACGATCGCTAAACGTGCTAACCACCCACGCCATCGAGCTCCTCAAGAACGAAGCTTTTAGAACTTACTTCAACGAAAAAAAAAACAAAGATGGCTACTCAAAAATTAGTAGGTTTTAAAAAAGTAGTCTAAATAGAAAAAAAAAACAAAATCAGTCAGCATATTTCCATTCGACGTTTGAATTATAAACTTTAAAAAGTAGTCTGGCGCTCCGCTCTGGCTGCAACAGTGATTTTATTTTCGCTGAGCCACTTCGGTGCTGTTAACGGTCCTTTTGCTCTTTGCTTAGTGCAAACTGCGCTTGACCGATTTTTATAGTGCTCTTTTACATAAATTTCCCCTTTCGAAGTTCCATTGGCTCCGATGCTTTGAAATGCTACTTTTAAACATTGAAATTCTATGGGGTTTTCTATTTCCATCATTTATAAAATACATTATACATCTTTTTATAAGAACACGAATCTCTAGTTTTGCCTTTAGTCACGCCATAACTTGAGAATGATTTTATTGGTTGCATCAATTTTTAAGTTTTCTTCTTTGATTATATACACGCATATTTAGAGCAGTCCATACAAACAACTCAAAGGAAACAGTACCTCTAGCACGAACCATTATCGAATTCGAATAGTTTGCAAACCGAAATGTCAATGTCAAATTTTGTATGGAAACTTGAACAGCAGCGGCACAAAGTACGTAACGAGAACCTAAAAATCAGTACACATTTGACAATGACATTCCGGACTCGCAAACGATACGAATTCGATATTGGTTCGTGCTAGGGGTACTGCTCATGTTACGTGCAATGACTCTAATGTCAGATTGTTTGAAAGCGTTTTTACCATATTTTAAAGTAGATATTCTTTGGGCCGCTTTGTTGCAGTTAATACGATGTCTTAGGATGTGTATAATCAAAGGTTTTATTAGCTACTTTTTAGAAATTTCTTACGGATAAAAATAGGAGAATACTATATGAAAATGTATGCGAATAACATAAAAAATTACGTACCTAATATAGTACTTGTGAAACATTTTTTCACGCGTAATGCATATTATTTATTCATACCATAAAAATGACAATAAAGCTCCGCACATGTGTGACACGGCAACTCACGGTGCGCGAAATTAAATTTGTCGCTCGTGTGTGCTAGCTTTACGTCCTCGTAAACACTAGAGGAGTTCCCATGTCGTTTGTTTATGTTCGCTATGTACTACATAATGCAACATTGAGGCGAACTTAATTGACATGGGAAAAGGTGCGTGCATTCATACAGCATAAGGTTTAAATCAGCTTGCAAGTCAACGTTTGAAACTGTTCAATATTGCCAGTGTAAATAAAAAGAAACTATGCTTTCCTTTTGTTTAAGACGTGCAAAGTGGATACTTGATCCTCTAAATAGGATTTTTTATATGTCTGTTGCAAAAGAAGTAGCTAATAACATTTTTTTTAAGCATATAACTGCTATATGTTGAAATCTGAAGAAAATTGTATTAGAAAGAAATCCACGCGCAGCAGACAGCAGAAGGGACAGACCCGCTGAATTGCAGCCTAATGCTAGAGAAAATTCGGCACGGCTATCAAGGCCGCGGTAGCATAATGGGCAGTGCATTCGTCTAGATAGCAAAGGATGCGGATTCGAGTCCCGTCTACTGCTTGGTCCGCGTGAATTTCTTTCTTGTAAAATTTTCTTTAGATTTAAGTTACTAATAACATTTTGTACTTAACCATTATTTACATATTTGTTTTAATCTGAGTATTTAACGCAACTTTAAGCAATACGCTTAAAGATTCGACTCGATTTACCAAAGGTGTGATGCAAGATGTCAGATCTCGAATGTGAGCACAGGAGTTCCTCAGGGGTCGGTATTAGGTCCGCAACTGTAAAAAGTATTGGCAATACGGGACTATAACTCTTGTATTCCAAATTCCCAAGCGTCTCTAAAGCTATGGAGGTTAACCCTGTAACCTTACTTGCCAACAAAAATAATATTTCCTTTCCTTCAGAGGATCACGCGCGCTGGCGCGAACGTAGTTGTCACCGTCTTACTGTGGCCTCAAGTCCAACGCGTACAAAGTTTGGTGACTCATTTCTTTGTCGCACTATCCGTAAAAGGAATGATGTGCCCGCTCACGTTTTCCTCTCTCATACAACCTGGGATCCTTTAAAAGAGGCGTGAAGAAGCAACATGCAGGCCGGCAGGGTGAGGATGGCTGGTGGGGCAGGTAGAACTGCTGTATACTGCTGTACAGCTATCTCGCGTCTGGACTTCACCGTCACTTAACATCAGGTGGGGTGGGGCCAATTCGAGCAGAAACTCCGCCATACCGCCACTACATATCTTGGTCCCTAACCTTTTGCATAGAAATAACGTTATATGTTATACTGTTATTATTTTTGACGACCTCCGTAGCCGAGTGGTTTGTACGCCGGGTTTCTTGGTGTCGCCGACTCGAGAGGTCCCGGGTTCAAATCCCGGTGGGGGCAGATGTTTGTGTGATGAACACGAGCATTTGTACTCCAGTCATGGATGTTTAATATGTATTTCTATATAAATATACTTATATATGTACTGTATATGTATTCTATCCGTTACCCTAGCATCCCATAACACAAGCCTTACAGTGCTTACTTTGGGTTAGGCTAATTGGTGTGAATGTTGGAAATATTTATTTATTTATTAAGAAATATTTTCACTAACGAGTTACACTATTGTCTTGTCTAGAGCAGCGTGTTTGAAGTTTACTACTATGCCTACCATTATGATTTAAATGAGTAACTAACAGAACAGGATTGCTTATTAAGTGCGGGTGTGATTTAGGTCTGACAGCAGGCTCGTTCCCGATGCCAGCCTCTCCAATTAGAAAAGATAATTTGCGCACTCCTAAATCATCTTTTTGTCACCAAGTTTACTTGAGAAGGAATTGGTACTGAAATAATAATACCAGTTTTGTTTAATACGTATACTGACTTATTTGTACTGAAGTAGACGACATCCGTGGCCGAATGGCATGTACGCCGGGTTTCATGGTTTCATGGTGTCGCCGACTGGAGAGGTCGGGTTCGAATCCCGGTGGGGGCAGATGTTTGTGTGATGAATACGAGCTTTTGTACTCTAGCCATGGATGTTTAATATGTTTTTTCTACATAAATATACTTATATGTATTAGTATATGTTTTCTATTCGGTACCCTAGCATCCCATAACACAAGCCTACAGTGCTTACTTTGAGGCTAGGCTAGTTGGTGTCAGTGTTGAAAAAAAAAGTCTTACAGGGCCTTACAGACAAAAGCGCGTGTGGGTTTTAACGAACACCTCTTATATTTGATTTATATATAAATATCGTAGGTGCATTAACAAAACACCTAACATTAAAATTTTCCGAAATTTGTAAATTGGATACAAAAAATGATGCTAACACTATATAGTCACTAGCATGTATGCTTGTATGCAACACATCTTTGACCTCAGTACAAATAGGTCAGTCTTCTATCAGGCGTGCGATATGTGATATACTGGATTGGGAGCCAAAGAAACATATAGAATGCTCCAGCTACTGTACTTTCCAATGCAGATAGAAAAACTCTATCAACGGAGCCTTTATTCGGAAACTTTGTGCGCTTATTGTCCCAGACATTGCCAAATATGGCGTCGCTGTGATTTGAATATGGGAGTAATGTTTTTGTTGTTATAGAAACATATTATACTTGAAAATTGAATTGGTATACTATAAGGACTCCTAAGACTTTAGCGTAATAAGGCAACAATTAATGCATTTCTGTAGAAAAAGAACTACCACGGGCAGTAAGAAATTCATCAAATTCATGTTCTATTTTGATAAATTTAAAGTATGGGCCGCGGTAGCTTAATGGTCAGTGCATCCGCCTGTATAGTGGAGGATGAGGGTTCGAGTCCCGTGTGCTGTATGGTCTGGGTGTACTTTTTTCTAGGAAAATTCTTTAGATATAAACA